GGGGCCGGGGAAGCCGGGACTGTGTGCGCCGCGCCGCGGGGCGGGGCCAGGGCTGCGCGCGGCGGAGGCGGGGACTGTGTGCGCCGCGCCGCGCCGCGGGGCGGGGCCAGGGCTGCGCGCGGGAGAGGCGGGGACTGTGTGCGCCGCGCCGCGGGGCGGGGCCAGGGCCGCCGGCTCCTTAAGGTGGCCAGACCTGGGTCGGCTGACTGGAGCTTGAAGGTTTTGCTCGGGAGTCGGCGGAGATTTCAAAGATCCCACTAGGTGATTGTTCGACCTCGGGGTCGAGTCGCCTCCGAACCTAATAGGGACCTCTGCTTCTTGGGCTGGAAACCCCAGCAGGCGAGGGCCTTAGCCCACCCCACCAAGTCTCCCACCCACGCCCCTCGTGATGCACAGAACAAGCGGAAGTCGAGGGGAAAGCCGAGGTGGAAAGGACTTTGCAGCCCCGGGACTACTTGGTGTGTTCAACAGGGGTCTGAGTACCTATCGAACGCTAGGTCCCTGCTTCCGTAGAGCTTGTGTTCCAAAAGTGAAGACAAGGAAAAACGGACAAATAAGACGGCTTGAGGCAGTCATAGCGCTGTGATTAGAAAAGGGGCCTGGTGGGCTGCAGAGGGGTCTGAGGAAGTGCCATTTTTGCTGAGACTGGACGGTCCAAAGGGACCTGGGGGAAGGTCGTTCAAAGCAAAAGGAGCGGCCAGTGCAAAGATGGGAACGGCCGCGGTGGGAGAAAACAGACATCCTCGGAGCTTAAAGAAAGGGGAGAGTGGGGAGGGGTCCGGATGAAGTCAAAGCCCGATCGTGTGTGACCCAGATGCAGAGTGGCCTGGACTGAGTTTCCCCGTCTGAAAGGCAGAGGTGATGCACGTTCCCGTTTCAGTGTGTCGTCGGGAGGACTAAACGACACGCAGCAAGTGCTCCAGTACGCTGGCTTGGTGTCCACTGTGCATCAAGCCTTTGTTGGACGTCCCCTCCCATTCCCAGAGCCCAGATGCGACGGCAAGAAGCACTGGCTCCTACCGTCCCTGCCACCCCCACACTCCCACCCCTCGTTCTGGCCACGTTTTCCTTCTGAATGCTTCACCCCTGCATCTTCTGCAGCGCTCGCCCGTTCCGGGCGCTGGTCTCCACCTCGTCCCACGGCAGTAACGGGGGCCTACGTTCGCACCGCAGCCTGGCGGGGTGGAGGGCCCGGCGCGCCCCCTTCCAGCCTCTCTCGCGGGAGGAAGCGCCTGGGAGCGCTCCCCAGGTAGGACCTGACCCCGCCTCCGGCGCGATTGGCCGCTAGAAGTGTCTGTCCTTGCGGTCATTGGCAGGGAAAGCCCTAACGGCCCGCCCCCTCCCCCGTCCGGACGTGAAACGGACCTTGGCCGGAAGTGGGCGGGCCCGAGCGGAAGAGGCGGGGTCGGGGGGCCTTCCTTGCGACTGCGCCACGTCCGCCGAGGCTGCGGCCGCGCGGCTGACGGAGGCCCGAGGCCGGGGCCGGGGTCGGGGCCGGGCGCCATGGCGGACTGGGCTCGGGGTGAGCGCGAGGGAGCGAGCCGGGTGGCGGCGCGGGCGGCCGTCACCGACGGGGCTGCCCGCAGGAGACGCTGCCGGCGGGCGAAGCCGGGCTGCCCGCGCCGGGGAGGGGTCGCGGGGGCCCTCCGAGGTCGCTCTGCCTGGGGCCTCGGGCGGGTTCACAGGCCCCGGAAGCTAGCGCTGGGGGAAGGGGCCTTACGTCCTCTGAGAGCCCCTGTTCTCACCCGGGAAGCGGGATGCTGATGCCGGCGTCGCTGGGCTCTTGTGACTTGAGGAATGAACGAACGTGAAGTGGTTGGTAGGGTGTTAACATCCCCTCCTTTGGGGTGTGTGCACGTCAGCGATTCGTAGGGCCGGGCCCCGGTTGGATCCGTCCCGTTGAGGCGTCCGGCCCGCGGCAGATTTGCACTCCGGACCTTGGGGGGGAGGCGTTTCTGACCCACCTGATGTCACAGAGATTCGGAGTCACCTGGCCTGGTGCTAGTCACGTGTCAGTTCTCAGCATGGATCGTGCGCTGGGGTGCCGGTGCGTTCTGCCTGGGGCATGTTCGCAGGGCCAGGGCTCACACAGGCCGGCATGTGTGAAGTCCATGCAGCCGACCTTGGCGTAGGGTCGGGCCTGCCTAACGGACGTGAGCCCAGTTCCCCGAGACTTCAGCTTGTCCGGGAAGAATTGGAGCGAGAGCCTTGAGGCCACAAACGGCTGATGTGCAGGGATCAAGGGCAGTGCTCACAGGTAGATGCGCCCCCTCAGACTCTCCCTTCTCACAGCCCAGAGCCCCGCCGCTGTGGAGGAGATTCTAGACCGGGAGAATAAGCGGATGGCCGACAGCTTGGCTTCCAAGGTCACCAGGCTCAAATCGGTCAGTGGTGGTCCTCCCTTCATCTCTGCCTGGCACTCGAGTGGGGGCCAGAGGGAGGGTAGAGGCTGGGAAGGGGGTCGGGTTGATCCCGTCTTCCTTGTCTCATCCATGGCAGCACTCATCTGCGTGAGGCCCAGGTGACACCTGGATCTCCTGATCCCTGCTGGTGGCACTATGCCTGGCAGAGTTGTTGGCAGGGTCTGCTGGTCTCCTGGGGGGGTCAAGTGCCATCCACTGTGTCCTCCCTGGCTTGACCTTGCCCCTTCTGTGTCCTGACCAGCTGGCCCTGGACATCGACAGGGACGCAGAAGACCAGAACCGCTACCTGGACAGCATGGTAAGGGTCTGCAGTATGCGCGGGCATCGCGGTCAGCTCTGCCCCACACTGTTGTGCCCCCAGTGTTGCTTGTGGCGCCTGCGTGGCAGTCGTGGAGGTGCTGCCCCTGTGTGACCTTGCTGGGATTCCTCCCTCAGGACTCGGATTTCACAAGCATGACAGGCCTGCTCACGGGGAGCGTGAAGCGCTTTTCCACAATGGCACGGTCTGGGCGAGACAACCGGAAGCTTCTCTGTGGTATGGCCGTGGGCCTGATCGTGGCCTTTTTCATTCTCTCCTATCTCCTGTCAAGGGCAAGGACTTGAGCCACTAGGAGCTGACTTCTGTGGGTGCCTGGGGCAACCTGGGTCTTCCCCTGCCTGGTGTCCTAGGCTCCAGAGGACCTACCTGCAAAATACTCCTTTGAAATGATGGTCGTGGCTTAGGGATTTTCTTCCTGTCTGATGTGTTCATGGCTGCCTCTGATCGAGTGAGCTCATGTTGGCTGGCCCCATGTGTGTAAGGGTCTCTTTCCCTTGAGGGAAACCAAGGCCCAGGCCCCTGTGCTACTCTGGGTACGAAAGGCTCTGGCAGAGCCAGGTGTGAGCAGAGCCTCTGGAAATCCTGGACATGGCTACCTGTGGCCCGCAGCCCTTCCCTTGTCCCTTGGGGCTCTGACGTCTCAAGGCTCTGCCCTATGCGTGTCTCTGGGTAAGGCCACGTCTGATGCCTGAGGTGCCTGGAGCTGACACCGGAAGGGGGTTTGGCTGTGAAGTTGGAGCACCATCTCAGCTCAGAGATTGCAGCTCCCCTTGGCTAGGGCTGCTGAGTATGGGCAGATCAGCCTCGCCTGCCCTCCAGACCCTCGGGGAAGGGCAGGCGATTGTGGATGAAGAAGTAAGTGGACCACAGCCTTGGCTGGAGGCACTGGGCCCTGCTCCTTTTGGATCTCACAGTCTTGTATCCAGGAGCAGAAACTCCCATTTTCTCAGGATTCAAGATCGAGCCAGCACCAAAGATGTGTTTCTGGGGGACCAGACCTCGAGAAGCAGTTCCACCTGGCGTTTCAGAGTCAGGCAGAATGTGTGTTGGGGAGGCGCCTTCTGTGGTTTGAGACAGGAGGCTTCCCTACAAGGACTCTCCTCGTGGGGCCGTGGGTCGCTTCCTGAGGGTCACCAGGCAGCTTCTGCTCCACCACGTGAGGCCCTTCAGCAGTGAGCTCCCTCACTAAGGGCACTCTCAGTTCTCCCCCCAGCCTCTGCGGGCTGCCCTCCATGCCCGCCTCTCCCTGGGCCCTCACTGCCCACTTGGCCAGCCCCATGTTCACACAAACCAAAGCACAGGCCCGCCTGAGCCAGTGGCTTCTCACCCCATGGTGAGGTGTCGGCACCCTCATTGTGCATAAATACGTGTAAGAAACAGTTCATCATCTGTGTCCTTCCCTACCCTTGTTCCTGTCTTCTGCCAGTGCAGTCACTCGCGCTTACCCCCAGAGGACTGTCGGCTCTGCCCCACACCGTGCGCTGTGCAGGCCCCTGGTGTGACTCTCACACGCTGACCGCACCTCTGCTCCGGTCTCTGGCTCTGGCCACCTCACCTTCAGCACTGCTGCTGCTCCCTATTCTCCCTTCTGTGTCCCTTGTCTGTCCAGCAGGCCCGGCCCCTCCTCACATTGTCACCACAGTACTCTTCTCGCATTGGACCTGCTGGGCTGCTCAGCCTCCTGGAGGAGGGGGACCCTACCTTCCTACTTCTGAGTGCTGTGTTCTGACAAGAAGCTGATCTGTAAGATCAGCTTACCTGCCTCCCTGTCTGTGGGGCTTTGGTATTTCCCCTGACTCCTTGACATTCCTTTTCAGGCCCCCATGGTCCTGCCTCCCTCCCCAGTCCCCACGCACTATGGCTTTGAGTTAGCCATCTCATGTTAAATCTTGTGATGGGGGGGCATGTCCACTGGTCACCAAGCTTACTAGACCTGTGTAGTGTCTCCGTCTGGTGGCATATTGCAGATGGACCCATACCCTGCATCCCGCCTGGGCCTATGGTGCTGACCTCTTCCTGAGAACATGGCTCAGTTGTGGGAGCCGCACCACACTACAGATTCGATGCAGGCTGGTTTAGATTTTGTGTTTCGGGTAGTCTTGATGAGTGCTTTCTGCTGTCCCCCTGAGACCTCAAGCTGCAATGGTCTCTCCTAAAGCCCCCATCTCTGCCTCCCCGCCTCCACTTCCATAGCTCTTTGTGGCCCTTCCGGCTATTTTGGGGTCTGGGTTTTAGTTCCTTTCTGGTTTACCATTTTGTTTCTCATTGCACTGGGATGGATTCCATGATGGGGGCATGTCAGCTCTGCTGCCGACCTGTGAGAGCCTTTGCCCTCCTCCTGCCTCGCCTCGGGCGCTCAGCACCTACCCCTGGCGTAAGTGCGGTTTGCTGACGTTGGTCCCTGAAACCACCAAAACAAAAAGGACCTGCGGACCCGACCTGTGCCAAGTGAGGACATTCTGCCAAGCTTTATCCCACAATTCAAGAACAAGGCATTTAGCAATAAAGATTTGGAATAAACAGCTTCATGACGAAGTGAACAATCTTTGGTGTCCTCATTTTCTTGGGTGCCTGAGGGTTTCATCTGGAGCTGACCCTGGTCCACAGACTGGCCGTGGATGCTGGTGGTCTGGACCCTACCTCCTTCCCTCTCTGGTTCTGTCATGTCCCTGCACCTTTCCTCACTTCTTCCTCCTACCCCCAGCGGGAGGTTTCTGTCAAGTTTCTATAACCACCGCTAAGGGTTAAATGAATAGACGTGAGGTACTCGGAACACAGCCTCGTGGTCCCAGCTGAGAGGGTCAGCGGCCATAGTATACTTCGTACTGCTACAGCTGGTGGGCTCACAGGGATGACCCTCGGGGCCACCCACCCTGCGGGCTTCACAGCAGCCTTTCCCCAGGGCTGCGGTGAAATCCACACTCCACTCTTCAAGGCCTGGCCTTGGACTCCAGGCAGCCTCTGGAAATGCCTGTCTTTGGCCTTACTCAGGTGCCCCCTTCCTGGCCCACGTCCTTGTGCTTCCTGTGTTGCCTTTGCTGTTAACAGATCACCTTAAAAAACTTAGTCACAATTAGAATAATTTATGTCTTACGGTTAGTGTGGTTGGAATTCCAGACCAGCATGGTGGGGACGGCCTAGTGGCCGACCTGAGCCTGGGGCTGCTGACACCTGAAGGCTTGGTCACGTGCCTGCAGTTGGTGCTGGTGTGCTTCCTGCCTGGATGCTGATGTGGCCTCACCAAGTGTTGAGCTCACGCCACGGTGGCTGGTGTTGGAGTGAGGAAAGGGAGGGGGTTGCCTAGCTCCACAAAGGAGCTGTTCCCTTTGTATGTTGTATGGCCTGGCCTCAGAGGTCATGCAGTATCACGTTACTGAGGGTGGTCACAGGTTCTAGTCCAGATTGAAGGGGAGGGGCACAGACCTCATGGTGGAGAGCCGGTCATAAAGGGACAAGACCCTGGGGAAGGGGCGGATGCTGGTGTGACCATCCTTGGAGTGTACAATGAAATGTGACGTGCAGGGCCCAAGGCGGAATTAGGAGGGCGGGCGTGGCAGGGTGTCCAAGGGTCCCAAGCCCCCTCTCTGCTCAGACCCCAGGCCCTGGAAGCCAGGATAGGACCCAGCCACCTAGGCAGGAGCCCCTTTCTGGGAAAGCTTGATTCTACTGCCAAGACAAACTCATTACTAATGCAATCTGTGATTTATTAAATATCTGGGCACAGCAGGAAATGAGATTAGCAAATGGGAAAGCATCATAGAAAAAATAACTGGTCACAACTGTCCAAACAAGTATGCTCTGCCCTGCAGGGCCAGGCTGGCCACAAGCCCAGCTGGTGGAGGAGGTGTCCTGAGCCCACGACCCAGGGCATCTGTGGTGGGAGCATGATGTGCAGAGGCTCTGGGGTAGGGTGGGGGCCAGGGCTATTCTACATCCACCACCAGGGGTGTCATGTAGTCGGAATGTTTGACGCCAAAGGTGACGACGGGGGCGCAGGGCTTGGTCACTGTCACCTGGGAGAGGAGAGGCTGTGAGAAGAGCTGGTACCCCTGCCCCGCCTGACGGGCTCTGCCCTCCCGGGGGCCAGAGCTGCTGACAGTGGCTTCCCTGTGCCTCCTGCACCTGGGCCAGGCTGACGGCAGCAAGACCACACTGCCAGGTTAAACAGAGGCCGTTGTGTGGTGAGTGCTCCGCACACTAACTGTCACTGGTTTCTGGGGAGGCAGACCCTGCCAGCTGGGGAAATGGATGTGCCACGAATGCCTAGCATGCTAGGGGTGCATGGCCACTGTGACCCTCACGGGCCCTTCCCCACCACACCCACTCTGGGCTTGCTCCCCAGCTACTCCTCCGGCCTGTGCCCACCCCCCCCCCCCCGGCCCTGCCCCTGCCAACCCCACCCCCCCGGGCTTGGGCCCCCTGCTCCCCAGGCTGTCCCCCCCCCACTCTGGGTGGTGCCCCTGCTACCCCTCCCCACTGGGTCATGACCACCCCCACCTCCTCTGGGCCATGTCACCCCCATCCCCACTCCCTCCTCACTGTAACCCCCCACCCCTCACCCCACCCCTCTGGGCCCTGCTCTTCCTAGACCTTCTCAGGACTGTGGGCTCCTGGTCCTGGCTTGAGGGTCTTGTCCCCTGGGGGCTCCACCCGGGCTGCCATGGTGTACTGTGGAGCCTTGAACTTTGTCACCTGCACATCCGTCTGGCGATAGGCTGCAGGACCTGGGGTCTAGGAGGCAAAAGAGGCTCAGACAACCTCAGCTGACAGGGCATGTGGCTCCAAAGGATAGGGGGCCAGCATCGGGCAATGGGTTTCAAGCTTGAGCCACTGTGTGTCTGTGTGTCAGTGGTCCCTTTTGTCCCCAGACAATAGTCGCACCGTGGGGATGACCTTCTCTGTGCGGGACATTGCCCTTCCACAGAAGCCTTGCTCTGGCAATGACACCCAGTGTGTGCCAGTCCCAGGCTTGTCCCTTTGGTGTGTGCTAGAGAGGCCCCTTTCCAGCTGGGACTCTGTCCTGCGGGACTCGATGGCGGTGAGATGGGCGGGCAAGGTCAGCAGTGCTGTGACGCCACCTTGGCATTCTCCCCAGGGTCCTCAAGCTCCCAGGCATGTGCTCACCTCAGGGCCTTTGCACTGGCTATTTCTGCAGCTGGAACGCTCCTCCCCCAAATATCTCACAGCTTTTCTTCTTCTTCCCATCTTCCTGTAGGCCACTCTATCAAAGGCTGCTCCTTGCCCTCCCCGCAGCCTTCTGTAAAGCCCCTTCCCTGCTCAGCCCTCCTCATCACTGTTGCTCTCTGCATCTTTGTCCATTGTCTGCCCCTCCTCACCCCTAGACTGTAACCTTGTGTGTGTGTTGGGGGGGGCAGGGTGGTGCCAGGCATGTGGCAGGCACCCAGAGGATGAAGAACTGACAGGCTTCAGTCTGGTGGCGCCGGGGTCTGGGGGAAGGGGCCAGATGGGCCACCTCTGGGGGATGAACAGTGCTGCGCCCTGTCGGGGGGACCCTTGCCTTGTGCAGGTCGTCACTGAAGCTGCCCAGCTTGCTGCGACCCTTGATGGAGAAGGAGGGCTGGGAGGCCTTGCCGACAGTGTGGGGCCCCATTACCACAGGTAACATGTAGGCGGCAGGGCCTGCGGGGTGCATGGGCATTGAGTGTCAGGCTGGACAGAATCCTGCATCCAGAGTCTCAGATGGCTCCTTCCCTGGGGCTTTCCACTTCCAGGAGAGCAGCCATCAGGTTGCCCTGTCTCCCCCACCTCCCCCACCACCCATGTCATGATCCCCAACCCGGTCGGATGTTGGCTGTCAGGGCTGCTGCATACCTGGGGTGCTGTCCACTCGAAAGGTCTTGGTCCGGGCAGAAATGGAGTGGCTGGGTGCTGAGTCAAACACGCATTTGGTAGATTTCTCTGGAAAGTAGTCACCTGGCTCGGGAAAGGAGTGGAGGGTGTGCTGGGAGGGAAAGGACCATGCAGACAGGCTGCTGGCCCTGCTCAGGGGGTCAACTGCAGGTGCAGGGCCTCTAGACCCCAATACAGACAGTGACTGAGATTGGTCGGGGGTACTGCAGGAATCGGGGGACAGGTGCAGCTCTGGAGGAGGAAGGGCCAGGCTCTGATGTAGGCCTGGTGCAGGGACTCAGGCCAAGAAAAGTTCAGGCCAGAGTTGGGCCTGAGGGTCTCCAAGGCTGCTTTGGGCCCGATGGCACCCCTTGTGAGGAAAATGAAGGGTTAGGAGGCCCAGGACGCCTGTGTCCCCTCACACCCTCACCTTGACAGGACACGCAGTAACCATCAGCAGGGCTGGGCAGGGCTGCGGGTGGGCCAGAGTCACTTACCAGGGCCAGGGGTCATGATGGTCTTGGTGCGATAGCGCCCCAGGATGGAGTAGGCGGGGCCGAGGTCCTTGCCAGTCCTCAGTATCTTGGGGTTCACACTGTAGCGGGGCCCTGGGGAGCAGTTCTCTGCCAGGAGCATGGGGGCCCCCCGGAAACTGTAGGCTGGTGCACGCAGCTTGGTGGGTGTGTGCTTCACAAAGCCTGTGGGGCAGAGCCTCTGAGCAGCCTGGAGCCAGACACCACCCTTCTCCCCACCGTATTGTCCCCAGAGGGGTTCATGGGCTGGGAGTCAGGGATGAGCCCTCAGCCTCCCCAGCCCTATCGCACACACCCACCCCTCAGAGCCCCTCCTAGACCGTCCCTAGACTCTCCCCAGGCCTGCCCTAGCCTCATTCCAGGCACTCCCCCAGATCCCCCCAAATCCTCCCCAGACCCATCCCAGGCCCCTCAGGGCCAGCCCATGTACCCCCAGACCCTCTTCAGGCCTCCTCAGTGCCCGCCCCAGGCCTCCCACCCCCCAGACCTTCCTTAGACCCACCCCAGACCTGCCCCATGCCCTCCCCAGACCCCCATCAGACCCTCTCCAGGCCCTCCCCAGGCTCAGACCAGGCCCCCTCCCCAACCCTCCCCAGGCCCATCCCAAGCCCACCTCAGACCTGGCTCCTGCCCCCACCCCAGTCCCATTCCAGGCTCCCAGGCACTTACCCGTGGTGGGTGGAATCAGGTACTTGGGTCCTGGGCTGCTGTAGAGGGCCATGATGGGCCCCCGGGGGCGATGGGGCCTCCAGGTGCCCACCCATACTTCCTCTGCCATGGCTGGCTCTGTCCATGGGACGGGAGGTTGACCAGGGGCTGGGAAGACCCAACTCCTCACCCCGTCCCTGCTTTGTCCCCACTGATGGGCAGAACTTCAGGCCACAGTCTCCTCAGTGAGCTCTTGAGCTGGGGCCCAGACTTACAGAACTTCTGCTTGGAGTAGTGGGCTTGCTCTGCCCTCACCAACGCTAAGAGGAGGAGCTCCAGACACTCGTGTGCATGCCCAGAAGGGCTGTCTCTTCCAGCCCTCACAGACCACCCCTCCCTGGCTCTAAGGGGGTTCTGGGCAGGTTTCTCCTACTCAGAGGACCCTAGGCATTACTGGGCAAGGAGCGGTGGGCAAAGGTGGGAAACTTCTTGGCTGAGACTGTGCCACGGGGTGGGGGGCAGGCCGTTCCAGAGGGGCCCTCACCTCTTTGGTCCGGGAGCTGCGCTCAGAGCAACCTATGGACCAAGCCTTCTCAGAGGCGGTCCCGTTGCTCCGGCCTCAGTGCCAGGGAGTTCCCGGAAAAGGGGCATGGAGAGGTAAGCCTCTCCTCTCCCCAGGGGGCCTGGAGAATTGGGGAGGGGCCCTAGCCCCCAAGCTCTAGAATGTGGCTCTGTGGGACAGCAGGTTCTAGATCACTATCTGTGTGAGGGAGACAATGGCCTCTGCCCAGGGAACCCCCACCCTCACCACGCATGGTTCAGGTTGGGACTTTGCTCTGCTCCTCATTGCAATGGGTGGGGCAGGGGCTCGGAGGGCAGGAAAAGGGACAGCAAGGTTCTGTACTGGACAGGGAGGCCATGGGGCCCAGAACTGGAGTGGCGGGGGACCGAAAGTTGTGAGGGGCAGAGAAGAACATAGTCAGCTCTGCCCCCAGTGAAGACCACTGACCCCGGGGAACTGAAACACAGGAAGGCTCCAGCAGTTGGGATCCTGGGATCCAAGGTGAGGGTTGGGGAGTTGGGGTGGGGAGCTGATGCTCTCCCGTGGAACCTTTCTCAGACCCTGCTCTCCCTCCTGGGCCGCTGCTGGCTGTGTCCACCCCTCGGAGCATGGGTGTCCTCAAGAGCAGGTTGCACTTTCTTCTTGACTCTGTCGAGGTTCCTCTTGGGGCTACGGCTCAGGTCTGCATTTCTTCCAGGTAGACTCTTTACTTGGGTGATTTTGGGGAGATTGCTTTCAACCCCTGGACCTGTGCCATTGTGTATATTTATTATCTCGGAATGACAGCCTTCAGAGGCAGAGCGCCCCCAGCCTGACCTCCCTGTCTTGGCCATGTCCTCTGCCTGGGGCACTTTGTCCCTGCCTGCTCTGAGTCACTGCTCCTGCACCCCACCACTGCCTCTGCCGGCCTTCCTGTGTCCATCCACCTGCCTGTCTATCTGACTTGCTCTGTCCACATGGGTATCTGGTGGGTCTGCCCTCTGTGTGGGGCTACTTCTTTTTTTTTTTTTTTAAGATTTTATTTATTTATTTGACAGAGGGAGACACAGTGAGAGCAGGAGCACAAGCAGGGGGAGTGGGAGAGGGAGAAGCAGGCTCCCCACGGAGCAGGGAGCCCGATGCAGGGCTCGATCCCAGGACCTGGAATCATGACCCGAGCCGAAGGCAGACGCTTAACGACTGAGCCACCCAGGCGCCCCTGTGTGGGGCTACTTCTATGTGCGTGCTCTGTGGATGTGACCCTGTGTATGTGAATCTCCATGTGCGTGTAGTTGTGCCCTGAGTGTGGGGAGAGACAGGAGCCAGAACCTGAGCTGCAGGAGGCTTTATTGATTGAACAGTTTTAGGGTACATTCACACACGGGGAAGTGGTAATGGGGTGGCGTGGCCATGGCTGCTTGTGTAGCTGGTCCTGTGGCTGCTTGGAGCCCTGACTGGGGTCTGCTAAGCATCATCTTCACTGCCCAGCACTTGCACCTGGAAGGCAGACAGGTGTGGGCCAAGAGGGGTCCTATCCTTGGTGACCAATAACTAGAAAACCCCATCTCCATTGGGCAGACAGAGCCAGGCCGGCCCCTGGGGGACAGTAGGCTCTAGCACATTTTGGCCAGTCCTCTCCTAGCAGCTGGGGAAGTGGTGTGTGCACCTGTGTGGATGTGTGCGTGCACTTGTATGCAGGTGTTCCTATGCATGTATGTATGTGTAGGGGAGGCTAAGGGTGCTCTGTGGGGAGTGAAGTCTGGGATATCTACTTCTGCTGACTGCGGCATGTCAGCTGTCTGTAGGGGTGGTAGGCTGCATTGGGGGGATAATCAGGAGCCATGGCATTTGGTGGAGGGCCAGTAGGGCAGAGCCGTGGGTCCTGCTGGGGCTGCAGGCATTTAGGGAATTGGGTGCCCCCACCCCCCAGCCACGGTACCAGCAGCTTGACCAGCTCCGCCTTGTGCATGGGCTGTAGGTCATCTATGCAGGACTTGAGCTCAGTCAGTGCTGCCTTGGCATCTGCATTGACGTTGTACTTGCCCAGGGGCCCCTCGTACAGCTCCTCTGGGGACCCCACCAGCAGCGTTTGCAGGAATTCCATGAAAAACTCACCGCTGTCCCCCCCGGTGGCCAGCCCTGTATGGTGGGAGCGGGATGACACCAGGACAGGAGGATTGCATTCCAGCCCATGACCCCAGACTTCCCAGCACTCCAGCCTCAGCATCCAGACCTTCTGCATCAACTCCCATCTCACCTGCCCTGCGGTGTGCCTGCACGATGATTACCCCGCCTCTCCTCCCCCAGATCTTCCTCCCTACCTGCCCACAGACTCCTCCTGTCACCCCTAACCCCCCTTCCTCCCTCCACTCTGGGTTTCCCGGCATCTCCAGGGAAGGAGTCAGACCCCTAAAGAAGCTGGAATTTCCCCTCCATGCGAGCCTGGCTGACATGGGGCTTGGAGGGTTGGGCTCAGGCTGGGCTGGGTTGGTGACATCGGGCTTGGTGACGCTAGGGCTGGGGCAGAGGTTGGAGCTGGGCTGGGTGTGGGTGGGGCTGCGTGGGGACTGGGGTCGGCGGGGGCATCAGGGTCGTTGCCCACATCTGTATTCTGTGGTGGAGTCCCGCCGGGCACCTACACAGGCTGCTGCCCATCACTGTGAGGGGCCTAGTGCCTGGGTTTTCAGCTCCCCAGGTCCCCATCCATCCCCCAAACAGGGACCCTGCTGAAAGAAGCACACAGACTCACCGCAGGAGCAGAGCAGGGTGAGGGCCACCAGCAGGAGGGTGCTGCTCCCCTTCATGGCAGACAGCGGAGGTCCCTCAGGAGCTGCCTCTGCAGGCTTTATGCCTCACAGGTGGCACCTGGCCTGGGGGCGGGGCCAACCTGCCAGTCAAGACCTTGGCAGTGAAAGTGTAGGTTGGGCCGTGGGGGTTGGGGGGTGAGGGGTGTGTCCTCACCCCTGGCTCCCCTGGGTGTCAAGCAGCAACAGGCTTGGGGCGCTGTGTGAGGGGTGGTCTGCACGTGGTTTTGGGTTGAGTGGATGTGGGAGAGGGTGAGATGTGAGGGCGATGGGGAATAACAGTGGGGGCCAGGATGCCACAGGCCTCTGGCCATGCCTGCTTTGTGGCTGAGAGTGGTAGGCTCTGGGGTTGGGCTCAGGCCTTTCTTTTGTGGGGGGATCCCCCCTCTGCTCAACATGCCTGAGGGTCTCCACTGGGGAAGGCGTGGGGGCTTCCTGGGCCTGTGGATCTGGGTAGTAGGAGATGGGCCCAGTGCTGCAGGAGGTGGGTCTCAGAGAGACTGAGGGGCCAGGAGCCAGGTCACCCCTGGGGCCTGGTGGGATTGTCCCACCACTGCAGGAAGCGAGGAGGGGCCACAGTCTGAGACACAGCTTCCTTCTGCGGCAAGGCCGGCCCCGAGAAGTCTAGGTTCTGGGGGAGATGTTCGAATGGAGATAGGGGGCTGAGACCCCTGGGTCCCCAACCAGACCTGCCCAGGAGCAGCCATTCCTGTGTGGGACCTGGGCCCTCTCCTGTCCCCTGCTGCCATCTGGTGGCTGATGGTGTCCTCAGGGTGCTCGTGAGGACCCAGGGGTTTTAGCCCTTGGCCAGCCCTAGCGGCTCCTCATGCAGCATTTGGGGACGGTTTCCACCTTCCCCAAACTGCTCTGGCTTGATTACTATGGTGTCTTTGTCACCCTTTGTCACCCTGTCCCTCACTCGTCTTTAGCTGGCCCTGAGGCTGTCACAGACAGCAGACCCTTGTCCTGTTCTCAACCACTCAGGTGCCTGTTTACAACGAGTATTCTGCAATTCTCTTTGCTAACATGCAGTAAGATCCAGAGGGGTATATCCTGCTCATACACAGAATTCCAAGAATACAGGACAGAGAATGTGTACCAAGATCACCTGTAACACAGCAATGTGGCTGCCTCAGGGAGACTGTACTTGAGGCCATGTGGAGCCCCTGTCCCCAAAGGCCCCAGGGATCATGGATTCTGAGATGGCCACAGCCTCCACCTTTGCTTGATGCACCCATCACTTTCTTTTTTTAACTAGATTATTGAAGTACGGTCAACACAAAATGTTACATCAGCTTCAGGAGTACAACTTAGTGACGCCACGATTCTGTACCGTACTCAGCGCTCCCCACGAGAAGTGTAGCAACCATCTGTCCCCGTACAAAGTTACTGCCCCGTCACTGACTCATTCCCTATGCTGTCCCCGTCACCATCCTTCACCCATCGGTCTCTGGCCGCCTGTTGCATCACCTGGGCAGATGTCTACAAATGCCAGCCCCGGGCTTCGGCATAGCTCAGAAGCAGTGTTCCCGGGGGGTACAGCCTGGAAACTGTTTGTCTGAATCCCTCCCGATGATTCCGACAGTCAGGGCTGGCCCTACTGGAGACCAGCCTGCCCAGCTCTTCTTCTTCTTCTCCATTTTCCTACCGTTTCTCCAGATTGCTGTCGCTACTGGAGGTGGACTGGGTGCCCCCTTGGCTGCGTTTGGGTTGTGGCTTTTCTTCTTCTCCAAACCGCAGCCCCTGGAAGCGCAAGCTATTAGTAGTTGCCCTGCAACCCTTCCCGGGCACCGTCCGAGACACACTCTCCAACCACCTCACAGTTGAGGAGGACGTGAACGGAGGAGTCAGTCCTCCTCTGCTGCCGACTCCGGTTACCAATTGTGGTGACTTTGCTTGCACATACCTAATCCACCTAAGGTTCTGACCCCTCCCCTGGCCACCTGACCTTCACCTGCTGCAGTCAGCCACTGCCAGGGCCACGGTCCCGGTCTCCACAGCACCAATGGCAGCACTTCCCCGTTTCTAGTTCAGGTGAGCCTCCCGATGACCACGTCCTCTGGTGCCCAGCAGGTATTCAGGGAGCACCCTGGCTGACTGCCACAGTCCACATGCACTTCCCGGCCCTGACTTTACTGCACCATCGTGACAAGGCACCCCTCCCTTGCTCACAGCCGCGCTTCCCGCGCCCTGCCCCTACCCCCAGCACTGGGTGACCCCTGCCCACCCCCTCTCTTCTTCCACCTGCTACCTCAGCAGATCTCACGTCCAGAACTCACCTTGGGTGCGTCCTTAGTGCTGCTTATGGCTTCCAGGTCTCCAGGGTGGGTGTCCTCATGTCCT